CAGGATCGTCCCCACCCCGACGTCGCCTGCCATCGCGCCTCCCACGGAGACAACGGCACCCCCTGTCCGGGAGCCCATACCACTGCCAAGGAAGCCTACGGTCACCATCAGAACAAGGGGTCCCATCGTCCAGACACCCACTCTGGGACCGATCCAGCCAACCAGGGTAGCAGAAGGCACCGGCACGGTCTCCGTGCCAATTCGCCCCACGATGCCCGGGTACATAGAGCCCACGGCAGTCATCACACCGCCCACAACTACCACCAAGAAACCGAGAGTCTCCACTCTGAAGCCAGCCACGCCGTCCACGACGGATTCCTCCACGGCGACGACGCGAAGGCCTACTCGAAGACCCAAAACGCCCCGTCCGACGAAACCTCCCAGCACGACCAGATCCCCCATCTCCAAGCTGACAACGGCCTCCCCGCCGACCCGCGTACGCACCACAGCTAGCGGGATTCCCCGGCCCTGGGAGCCAAACGAGCCACCCAAGCTGACGAACCATATCGACAGGGTCGACGCATGGGAGGGCACCTACTTCGAGGTTAAAATACCGTCAGATACCTTCTACGACAAGGAAGATACCACCACTGACAAACTGCAGCTGACCTTGAAGCTGAAGGAGCAGCAGATGATAGAGGAGAATTCGTGGGTCCAGTTCAACAGCACCAGCCAGCTCATGTACGGCATGCCGGACCACAACCACATCGGGAAGCACGAGTACTTCATGTATGCGACTGACAAAGGCGGGCTTTTCGCTGTGGATGCTTTTGAAATCCACGTCCACAAACGCCCGCACGGGGACAAGTCTCCGGTGAAGTTCAAGGCCAGGCTGGAAGGGGACCACAACGCGGTGGTGAACGACATCAATAAGAAGATCATGCTGGTGAAGAAGCTGGCTCTGGCATTTGGCGACAGGAACAGCAGCACCATCACAGTGCAGGACATCGCCAAAGGCTCCATCGTAGTGGAGTGGACGAACAACACGCTGCCCTTGGAGCCCTGCCCCCGGGAGCAGATCCGGACTTTGAGCAAAAAAATTGCGGATGACTCTGGCGGGCCGAGCCCGGCTTTCTCCAACGTCTTGCAGCCCGAATTCAAGCCTCTGAACGTGTCGGTGGTCGGCTCTGGCAGCTGCAGGCACGTCCAGTTCATCCCCGTGACGAAGGACGGAAGGGTGATCTCAGAGGCGACGCCGACGGTGGCAGCAGGCAAAGACCCCGAGAAGAGCAGCGAGGACGACGTGTACCTGCACACCGTCATCCCTGCCGTGGTGGTGGCCGCCATCCTCCTCGTGGCCGGCATCATTGCCATGATCTGCTACCGCAAGAAGAGGAAAGGGAAGCTGACCATCGAAGACCAGGCCACCTTCATAAAGAAAGGCGTGCCCATCATCTTTGCCGACGAGCTGGACGACTCCAAGCCTCCACCGTCCTCCAGCATGCCCCTCATCCTCCAGGAGGAGAAAGCCCCGCTGCCCCCCCCGGAGTACCCCAACCAGAGCATGCCGGAGACCACGCCGCTCAACCAGGACACCATCGGGGAG